TTAGGCGAGTGATACAATGGTCGTTTCTCTGCTATTTGTCTTTAGCACTGGTGGTGTGTTGGCCCAATCTTGTAAATGCACTTTGCACCCCACATATGCCGCATCTTGCAGCCTTGGGTCCACGTTTTTCTTGAATACTTCAGTGCCCGCTAATTTCGACCCAAAATGATCCATGCCTTCTACATACTAATAATAATAATAAATAATAATGTATCAGCTGTACGCCGTAACGGCGCTTCGCTGCCGCCCAACCACCACCAGTCGCGCGCGGGCTGAGTATACCGCGAGGACGCCCACCCCTACGCGGATTCGAACCGGTGACCTTATGGTTGCAAAGCAAACGTGCAGACCACTCGGCCACCGGCCGACTTCTACATACTACAGGCTTAATATTGGATTACCCAACAGAACATCTACTCCAGGAGAAGAGGTAGGCGGGACTCGTTTCTGTTCGTTTTGATCACAAATATTATAGAAAAGATAGAACGGCTCCGAATAATTTGTTGTGTAAAACTCGCGCTATTTTTTGCGACTTGAAACATCACTCCAGATTTGCGTATATGTAGCTTTTGGTATGGAATGAACTTTCTCGAAATCACATAAGCGGATGTATCAGTTTATAATCTCCAAATCAAGCCATACTACCATAGTTAGAGATTCAGATATACGGTATAGTTTTAGGCTGTCTGCATCTTGTTCAAAACGGGGGTCAGCCTATCCCTCTCTGAAGACCAGTGGGCCACCCATGTAAATAGTTTAAACGCAATGGGGATCGGCTTATTACCTCGATAACTGTCAAAAATTGTCCTCTAGTCTTTCATAAAGGTTAAGATGACAGTAGAAATCCGAAAGTCAGAAGGCATGGCTCCTAACTGTTGGGATAAGTTACAATCATTGTCTTTTGAAGATGGAGAAGGGTCTTTGTGGTCAGCTACGTCACCCTCGTCTTCTCAGGGCCTATCACTGGTTGTTGGGGTCGTGACTTCAACCCTCTACCTGACAAATCTGACAGCTTTTTTAAGAGAGCAACAACATTTTACGGGATAACCTGAATTCAGATTCTTTCGTGTCTTCTCATTCAGCCGCTTACAGACAAAACGTGGAAAGAGTAAAGGAATGCGATTGGAAAACAGGTCAATAAGGAAATCAATAAAACCCTGAGAAAATCAAGTTCATCGCCTACATCTTACCAGGGCAAGACAAGACTGGCCGCTACGTCGACCTGTTTGCAAATGTTAGGTTTCATTCGTCGGATGGCAGAGGCTTCAGCGAAACGATGCAAGCTCGTGTTGTTTTGTCAACTGATAACCTTAAATGCGCCACGTGGGTTTTCGCACATGGTACAATCGAGCAGATGCTGAGCGATTGAGCTGGCAGGGAGTTCAGGATTACCATGTGCCAGGTGCCGTGAAACAAGTTCCATGGTCCTAGTTGATAGCCTTCTCTCGGCTCGGCTAATGTACATGCTACCGCAAGTACATGTGAATTGGTAAACACATGTGACGGTAACCTGACAGTGAGGCCTATGCAAGTTGGATTCATGGAACAGCTTTTTAGTTTGATGTAACAACACGAGCTCAGCTGCGTAGTAGCACCTTTTTATGGTTTGGCATAATCGGTAGTACAATCTGTCGTTCTGTTCCCCTTTGTAAGGTAGCGCGATGAAGACCATTTTCTTCGGGACATCTGTTCCTTTTTCTTTCTCTGCAACCCCATTCCCATATCTGGCAATGAATTTATTCGGATAGCCGTTATCGCGTGGGTTACACTCAGTGTATCGTAACTCGTGTTGTTACATCAAACCAAGAAGCTGTTCCATGAATTCAACTTGCATAGGCCTCACTGTCAGGTTACCGTCACATGTGTTTACCAATTCACATGTACTTGCGGTAGCATGTACATTAGCCGAGCCGAGAGAAGGCTATCAACTAGGACCATGGAACTTGTTTCAAGGAACCTGATGCAAAATGGTCCTAGACTCCCTGCCAGCTCAATCGCTCAGCATCTGCTCCATTGTACCATATGCGAAAACCCACGTGACGCATTCAAGGTTATCAGTGGACAAAACAACGCGAGCTTGCATCGTTTCGCTGAAGCCTCTGCCATCCGACGAATGAAACCTAACATTTGCAAACAGGTCGACGTAGCGGCCAGTCTTGTCTTGCCCTGGTAAGATGTAGGCGATGAACTTGATTTTCTCAGTGTTTTATTGATTTCCTTATTGACCTGTTTTCCAATTGCATTCCTTTACTCTTTCCACTTTTTGTCTGTAAGCGGCTGAATGCGAAGACACGAAAGAATCTGAATTCAGGTTATCCCGTAAAATGTTTGTTCTTGCTCTGTTAAAATTTCTGAAGGGAAATGGCTGATGAAATTCCTAAGGAAACGCCTCCCTCCTTACAACTTTCGTTCGCTGGTTAAAGTAGTGTCTTTACGTTGTTCTATTTCGCGTGAAGCCGCACGTATTGATGTTTATAAGGAATGCATAAGGGTGTCCACGTATCCGCGTCTGTTTTGCAACGCACTGAGGAATGACCATCTACATGTTAACTCGGAATTTGCGACGATACACGAAGCTTCAGATTGTTGCTTCTGTCCTTCGTATCACACAGCTGAAAGCTAGTTTTGGGTGCGTTGAACAGTCTCAAACTTGTTTGTCACACGAAAGTTTACAATTTTCTGCGAGAGCTTCAGGTCAAAACGAGATTGTCAACAAGCCAGCAAATTTTGGACTCTGTCTGCTGAGCGTTTGTATGAGCAACTTCTACTTAACCCGCAGAAATATGTGGTGAACTTGTCCAACGTACCCCTTAGTCGCCTCCGAATTGAAGCGCTATCGCTGGGTTTCAACTTCTCTGTTCCCCCTGGTAAACGAGACGACATAGGGGTTGAAGCACAGTTTGAACACCTACAAGAGCAGCTTTCTGGTCTAACTCCGTCAACCGCAGACGCGAGTAGTTGGTTTAAAGCGAAGGCAGTGGACTTGGCTAACCAATTTTGCATCACAGACTGAAAAATCAAATTTTCTCACGAAAGAACATTTTGATTCATTGCACCAGCTACGCCGAAATGAGAATGTTGTGTTACTGAGATCTGATAAGGGCTCTGGAATTGTCCTCATGAGTAAAAGTGATTATCTTCAAAAGATGTAATAGGTGCTCACGAATGAGGGTAGATTCGTTAGCGATCTAACAAGGAAAGACAGAACGGAAAAAGTAGGGAAGTTGATAGCACGTGAGCTACGAACACTACACAAAGAGGGATTAATCCACTCAAAACTATGACAGAACTCCGCCCCGGAGGCTCAAGACTTCCTCGTATGTATGGATTGCCAAAATACACAAACATGAGGTTCCACTGCATCCTATTCTTTCAATGGTTGCGGCGCCGCATCAGAAACTGGCACGATGGTTGACAAAGCGACTCGAGCATGTACGTTCTGAGCTAGCGGTACACAGTCTAAAAGACACTTTTGCGTTCGTTGACAAAGTTCGACACTTGAATGTTCAAGGTAAACCCATGGTATCATTTGATGTTTGTTCCCTTTTCACGAACGTTTTTGGATGAGACATTGCACATCATAACCATGCATGCGGACAAAGTTGGTCTGCCTACACATCGATTGAAGACCTTACTCAGCATTTATATGAAAAACGTCCAATTTTGTCTCCATGGGGATATGTATCGTCAAATTGAAGGCGTTGCGATGGTAGCCCTCTCGGACCGATTCTAGCTGACATCTTTATGGGTCATCTGAAGAGTAACTTATTACGCGATGTCATTGGAGCAACACACATTAACACGAGGTATGTCGTCGATACTTTTGTTATAGTTGTCACCGTCCAGCAAGCGAAAGTCCTTTTGGAAACGTTAAACAAATGCCATCCTAATATCAAGTTCACTATGGAAAGTGAATCAGAGGATTCGTTTCATTTTCTTGACGTTGCACTTAAAAGAAGAGCAGATGATTCACTCATACAATCGATTTACCGGAAACCGAGGTGGATTGGACAATGCTTACCTTTCAAGTTACTGTCCAATGAACTATAAACGATCGCTACTTCGAACTTGTTTTGTTAGAGCCCACTGAATATGCTCTGAAGAGTTAGTCGAGGCTGAGTTACGATATATCAACTCTAACCTACGCAATAAGGGCTGTCCGAATAAATTCATTGCCAGGTATGGGAATGAGGTTGCTAAGCAAGAAAAACGAGTGGATGTCCCAAAGAAAAAGGTCATCATCACGGCAGCTTACAAGGGGGAACAGAACGACAGAAGATTGTGCTACCGACTACGCTAAGCCATAAAAAGGTGCCACTACGCTGTTCCATGAATCAAACTTGGATAGGCCTCACTCTCAGGTTACTTCCTCATGTGTTTACCAATTCACCTGTACTTGCGGTAGCATGTACATTAGCCGAGCCGAGAGAAGGCTATCAACTAGGACCATGGAACTTGTTTCACGGCACCTGGCACATGGTGATCCTGAACTCCCTGCCAGCTCAATCGCTCAGCACCTGCTCGATTGTACCATGTGCGAAAACCCACGTGGCGCATTCAAGGTTATCAGTGGACAAAACAACACGAGCTTGCATCGTTTCGCTGAAGCCTCTGCCATCCGACGAATGAAACCTAACCTTTGCAAACAGGTCGACGTTGCGGCCAGTCTTGCCTTGCCCTGGTAAGATGTAGGCGATGAACTTGATTTTCTCAGTGTTTTATTGATTTCCTTATTGACCTGTTTTCCAATCGCATTCCTTTACTCTTTCCACGTTTTGTCTGTAAGCGGCTGAATGAGAAGACACGAAAGAATCTGAATTCAGGTTATCCCGTAAAATGTTTGTTCTTGCTCTGTTAAAATTTCAGAAGGGAAATGGCTGCTTGTAATCTGACCGCTCTCTGTCACGAATACTCTCCACTCTGCTCACTTGAACGCTCACGGCCATTATCCCCATGCTTTTATCTGCTTTTCAGGATAACTGAAAAGGTTTCTTTCGGCTATGATTGTGGCGGTTATTCAGGATGATGTGTTACAAACTGGCTCTGGTAGTGAATCACAAAAGCGTATTATCGATGAGGTGAAATTGGCATGCAAACGGTGAGATTTTGATCCATTCCTAATGCCAGCATTAAGTGCAAGGGCTCAGTTGCATGTCGTACCATTCGAGGGTGTTGCCCTAGGGAAGGCAGATAACCTCGATCCTGTGTATAATTCGGACGTTCTCATACTTGATCTTAGTGTGAAAGTATGTTACACTGCGCTTACTGATTCCCTTTGCGCTTAGACCCAACAAGGGGTGCTGTTATATCATTTGGGTGTTCGAGAGAACATGAAACTTTTGGATAACATCGTACTCATAGATTTTGTTTCCAGCAAGTCCATTGAAGAAATCACAGTAAGTTGTAATACGATTGTGAGCGGCTGATTCCCAACCAGCGTTTTCTCGGACAAGATACTAAGGTGATTCCGTACGCGCTAACCAAAGCCGGAACGTTAGTGAGCTTGGACGTGTCAGTCGTTCAGAGCGATCTCTGGGAAGATGCCAACCTCAGAGATAAATTGTACATGCATCAATGTCTACTATGTGATGAAATATTTTCCGTCCTCTGTGAAACGAGGAGCAGTAATCGGTGAGTTAGTTCGCAGTCTTATCTTTATTTTGTCTATTTCAGTATTCGAGTTGTTTTGTCTCTAGACCGCATAGCAATTTATCATGATTCGTTTACTTCGCCCAGTGTGTGAAGTTTTCCGTACACGGCAATTACGAAGTGCGGTTGATTAGAAATTTCTATATTACTATCCGTTTATTTTCACCTATCACAGGTTACCTTCTTTTTGCTCGGTTTGATCGTTTTGCATACCTTAGTTGCGGAAAGCCCATGCTAGGGGATTTGGAAATCGTATCTCAGGAATTTGTTTGTTATCGTACCTTGCGATAGTGTATCTGGGGCCTTTATCTATGCCTTTTGTCTTCATCACTTGGGTAGTTATTTTTGAGTACAAAGGCATCATCAGTACGCGGGTACGCAGTAACGACGCATCGTTCCCGCACAACCACAACAGGTCTCACGTTGGCTAAGGATACCGCGAGCGTCGCCCGGTCCCTACGCAGACTCCAACCCGCGCCCCCAGATTATAAGGCACGCTTGTGATCCTTAAGGCAACGGGTCGAGAATTATATTTGAGTAGCACCCATCCCACTGCTTCATTGCACTATAAAGAATATACATTGGAGCGCGTCACCACCATCATCAACAGCAGTACATCAGCCATGTGAACTGATGCTTCGCTGCCATACAACCATGAGGACCTATGAAATAGAGAATAAGAAGAGGGAGAGAAGGGGGACTTACCTGAAAACCTTAATGCCCTAAGCAAACATTCAGGGTCAAGGCGCCTACACCTTGTGTTAACAACATACCGTCACAAACAGCTGGCTATCGTGCAAAGATAAGGCGGCATCGGCGAGACAGCTTCCTTGCGGCTTTCACTGTCACGCGTCATAATCAGCCATTACCCCGCAGATAACTCAGCAGCAAACACACTTTAAACAGGCAATCCGATTAGGAGACGGCAGCAGACGCGCCACTGATGTCGGTTGCGAGCCATGTCCTGTAAAGTCTCTAGCCAAGCACAAGGCGAGTCACGTGGACTCCAGCCCGGAAGGCGAGACGGACCAACGGCACCCAGTTTGGTCGTCAGTGACTTCATTTCCCGCTGCCAAGTCAACTTCTGTCCACCTCGAGCCTTGCGCCACCCTACACCTGGCAGACTAAACAAGGCCCTCCTAGCTAAGCGGTGACCAGGCATACGTAGCACGTGCCCGAGCCAACGCAACTTATTCAGTGCTATCTGTTGTTCTAGGGAGCTAGCATGATTATCACTACCTAGTACTCGTCTACGCACATCATCGTTGCGGACACGCTGGTGCCATCCGACACCAGCAATGCTTCGCAGACAACGATGATCAAAGACTTGAAGGCGCCTCAGCTCTTCAGACCGAAGGGGCCAAGTCTCACTACCATAGAGCAGAACGGCCCTCACTGTGGCCTTGTATACCCGGCCTTTCAGACGAAGGGAAACTCCCTTCTGTCGCCAAAGATGCCGCAGGTTCAAGAAGGCAGCTCTGGCTTTTGCAATGCGTGAGCTGACGTCAGTTTCTATGCGCCCATCATTGCTGATGCAGCTGCCAAGATAAGTGAAATGATCAACCACCTCGAGTTCCTCGTTAGCAAGCGTCAAGGGGTCATCAAGTGGCTGGTGGTCCTGCAGCAACACTTTGCACTTTGAAGGTGCGAAGTGCATACCAAATAATGGGACCACTCTGGACAGGCTATTCAGGTTGATTGTGCCGCCCCAACATCATCGAAAAGCAAGACGATATCGTCCGCATAATCTAGATCAACTAACCTTTCACCAGGCAGCACTTCAACGCCTACATCGTGAGATTCCGCAAGGGAACACTCCATGATAGAATCCACGACGAAATTGAACAAAAATGAGGAAATCGGACAACTCTGACGAACGCCACTTGTGGTCGGAAAGCTATCCGATAGGACACCGTAAACCCTGACGCGGCCTGTAGTGTTCGAGTATAGAGCACGAAGGATGTTCACATATTTCGTGGGAACACCTTTCCGCGCAAGTATTTCGAACAGAATCGATCGATCGACTGAATCAAACGCACTCTTGAAATCGAGGAACACAGCTATTGTCGGTCTGCGGTATGCGTGGCGCTGCTTTAGCACCTGCCGCAAAGTGAATATATGGTCTATACAGCCACGTCCTGGGCGGAAACCGGCCTGCTCTTCCCTAATCCGAGATTCCCGTTCCGCAGTGAGGCGACGAACGATAATGGAGGCCAATAATTTTGTCACAATTGGCGTTAGGCTAATACCCCTGTGATTAGAACAGTCTGTGCGACTGCCCTTCTTGTATATTGCCACTATAATCGATTCGCTCCAATTAGCCGGGACACTTCCTTCCAGATACGTTCGAATGAGGTCAGTGCTTTGCAGAGGACCTCACCTCCATTCTTAAGTAGTGCAGGTGGGAGGGAATCCGGGCCAGTGGCACGAAAACGATTAAGGGCTGTGATCGCGTTTCGGACCTCGGCCTCCGACGGAGGCTCTAAACTAACCGTCCATGGCTCGTCCTGCATCACCTGAGTAGGAAGAGGTCCGGGAGTAGGGGGCCAGCTGAACTGAGCTTGAAAGTGTTCCACCCAACGAGCCATACGGCGCTCCTTATTGTGTATCAGCGCACCCGCGCTGTCTCTGATTGTCTCATTGACGCCTGGTTTTCTGGGACCAGTGGTGCGGATAACCTGGAAGAGCTTGCGGTAATTGCCTACTGCCCCTGCCTCCTCCATTTCTTGAGCCCTACTGGTCTACCAGGCTTCCTTGTCAGCACGCAGGCTCTGCTTTAGTTCACGCTTAATAGCCCGTCTGGTCACATTGTTTTCAGAGCCAGCTGGTAGGTGTCTTCTAGATTCCAACAGGTTCACCGACCTCTCGGATATCCAGTGACTGGTGCGGTGACGATGGATAGTGCCACAAGCAGATGCTCCTGCGTCGTGCATGACGGCCGAGATCCTATTCCACTGAAGCTCAGCGTCATTAGGACAAGACTGCGGAAGTTCGGTATGCAGTGCGTCTTGATAGGCTTGCCTGACCGGGACTGAGACAGTTTCTCAGTTGCCAATCGTAGGGGACACTTGATGCGCCTCCCGGTAAAGTTCATGGAGAAACGACAGCGTACCAAGGCATGATCAGAGTCGACACAGGTACTCCAGTACGAGCGGCAATCCAGGATGGAACCACGCCACCTGTAACTTATGGCAATGTGGTCAACTTGGGTCCATCGCTGGTCAGTTACAGGAGGACGCCAAGTGGCACTTCGGCGCCCACTGTGTCTAAAAGCAGTGCTACTAAGAAACAACTGGTGCTCCGCACACAGTTGCAGCAGACGCTCACCGTTGTCAGTCCGTTCGGAGTTAAGTCCATAATTATCACCCAGCTGAGCTTCTGAAGAGCTCAGACGCCCTACTTGTGCGTTCATATCCCCTGCAAGTACTATAATATCTGAACTAGTAGCACTGCGTAGTAGCGTGTTCAGTTCGTGATAGAATGTGTGCTTGACAGCATTAGAACTGCAGTCGGTGGGAGCATAAGCGGAAATCACGAACAAACAGCGTTTTGTACTACTTCGTGAATCAACTTTAGCTGATGTCGTCAAACGGGCTGCACATAAACGGCTGTTCACCGGAATCCAATCAACCAACGATGGCTCAGCCTTGGAGCTTAGTATGATACCTACACCAGCTTGACCCGTGAGTGCTGCATCGACGTCTTCGGATGCATGTAACCAATAACGAGAGGATAAGCCGGGTGCAGTTAATGCAATAACCCCGTTAGGGTCATTGAGCGCGTCACCTCATTATTAACACAAAACCATTATCGCGCATTATCTGGTGTCTGTTACAAACAGTAAATTGTTGTTTTGCCTGTGGGTGGTTCGCGCTTCTCCGTAACCTCGGTTGTAGTTTATCTATATTCATTTTGTAGCGATATAACCTGTGTACCAACTAGCGATATGATATTGACGAATGGGGTTCATCGAAAATAAGCAGATAGGTTTTGGTGGATGGTTTCGTCTAGTTCAATCAAACTCATTATGATCACTCTGGATCTCCAGATGTTATCCATTGTTTTCATCTGACTACCCTACTGAGCCCAACCCCACTACTCGAAGAAATTCAATTCATTTGACTGGTCACACTTTATCAGGCATCTACCTGATGTGGAATATTTAACGGAAAAGTTCAAATAGTTATCCATACATGCAGTATGGATGTTGCCTTATGGGAAACATTGCTTCTCATGATAAAGGGTATCATTGCATACTATAAATTTACTTGCACTGCGGAGTGTGCTTTTAGATGGGACCTAACTCTGTCTTCCGCTTTCGCTACTCCGTTTTCATCCCATCATTCTCATTCTCGTCGTCGTAAGGGCGAGATAAGCTATGAATTAAACATTGAAAATAACCCCATTCGACGGAATCGAGTGCAGGTGGGGGGACAACGGCATCGGGAGCAGCAGTAGCAGCAGAACGAGCCTGCTGACACCGCAGCCCAAGAACGTAAGCTCCCCCGCAGTGGAAGACAATATGAAACAAACAACGAAAAATGGAAGGATGCGGTGGTTGCTGGCAGATTGTGCAGGCAAGACCGTCACTTGACATTGGGCCATAATGCCAATCAGCACCACGCGTACACGGACCGGATGAACAGTGCGAAGTTGGTTTGCAGTGTTGTGAGTCAAGCACAGGTTTAGTTCTTGATAAAAGCACGCGAGTTGCCCCTTCTCGACGCTGACGCTGAGCTGACGGCGTTTGGTACGAGGACAGCTTATCAACCGGGCGGGCGGAACAGATTTCGATGGAAGATGGAAAGCCAGTTAGCACCGCCCTCACAAGCTGACCACCTTTTCACGGACCGGATGAACGGCCTACGATTAGTTATAGTTATTGTGAACAAAGCGCAACTTTTTTCCAGTCAGCTTGGTAGCGGTCAATAATGCTGCTAACGAACGATGAGCGCGAGTCAGTGGACTCAAGCAGATAGGTA